GAGAAGAAAACCAGTAAGATAGATTAGATGTGCAGTGTTGGGAAGCACGTCCAGGGTTGCATGAGCAGAGAGGACATATGAGGGGCTTCACAGACACTGCGTCTTAAGTGCACGAGGCTCACCTCTCCAGGCTCTCAGATCAGCTCACTCTTCCCACTGCACCACCGAGAGCTCCACAGGGACAGGCCTCGCTCAGCAGCAGGAGCTCTCGGTACCAGCCTTCCGCTACAGCGGACAAGCAGACAGTTGCACTCACACTATTTCTACTTTGGGTTCTTATTTTATCCAATCCTTGGAGTCCTTTAGGTCTGATGTCCTACTCTAAATATTTGCACCATGGAGTGTGTTGGGGTGGAGGAAATGGTACACAGCTGTGCAAACTTGATTTCTGCTGGAACTCGCTCCCACCAAGTGAGCTGGAAAATCATGCATGAACTTCTGGTCACCCCCACACCCCTTGGCTTTCTCCCTGGAGCACTAATGTAGAGCAGGTGAAAGCATGCTGGGCTTATTTTCTCTTTGGTGTAATTCATGTGTGTTGTAGCTCACCTTTAATGTGCATGGACCGGAGAAACAGACCCTGAGTCTATTTGGTAATCTCTTTAAGCCACAGCTTCCTCATCTGTATGTACAAGGAGGCAAAAAATGACACCTGATACTTAGTTATACAAGAAGATTGAGACCCTGAGAAGGAAGCATAAAGCATGGTGTTTGGTACCATGGTGAGTACGGTATAAGTGACAGTGATTTTCATCCAGGGCGGCAGCTCTCTCCTGCCTGAACCAAATCATATTACCCCATCCTGGATCAACTGGGGTAAATGGCATCACCAAACTTTCTATATGACTGCTTTAATTTTTCTCCTAGATTTCACTTCCAATCCTTTGAAAAGTTACAAGGAGCTCTCCTCTACGGTAGACTCATTGTTCAATTTTCTCCCTCACACATTCTTTTTGTCACCATTTCCACACAAAATATAGTAAAGAGGAAAACTTTGTGATTAATATCACTTCCCCAGAAGAATGTTTGTGCTTAGTGGAGTTTCTAGGTTATTTGGTACCCGATGCAAAACCTTGCAAGTTATTACCTAAAATGGCGCATAGGAAAAGGTGAAATAAAGTGAACGTTGTATATAATGTCCTTTAATTGAGGAAACTCTGTTAACTTGTCATTCTCTGAGGAGGTAATGCTTCTGGGAGGTATTCAGTAGTCTCAGGGGGCAGATAACTAGAATATTATCCTGCTGTCAGTGCCAAGGAAGAGAAGAAAATGACTGATGGGTCCCTCATGACATTCTGCGCTGCCAGAAGTAGGGTGCACAGGGGACGGTGGTGAGGCGAATATCTCTGTATCAGAGCTGTGCTATTCCCTTCTGTGCTGAAGAAAGAAAGCAGAAGAGCTCTCATATTTGAGTATCCAGGTGAGGTCATTGCCAGTTGCTGCAACCCAAGTGTTTGAGAGATTTGCTGCCCAGGACTTGCGACTCTGTGCAGCCATTTTTTCATTCTGAAAATATTGACTTAGTGCCATCACTGTACCAGTTGCCAAGGATACGTGGACAAGCAAAGCAAACAGAATCCCTGCCTTTGAGGATGTTGTGTCTCAGAAGACAAATGCTACGAGAAGGAGAGTGGCTAGAATACCAATAGCAGACAGCACTGACAGTTGGAGAAGCAGAGGCCAGGGACACTATTTCTGTTGTCACGTTCTCCCCCTGACCCTTGACTCACTTCTTCCCCGAGGAGGGAATGGCTGGCTGAGTGGCATCGCAGCGGGGCTGAAGCGAGCATATCCTCAACCCCCTCTGGTTTCCTTCTTTGAATAAAGAGCTGCCAGGTACGGGTGCACCAGGATCTTCATTGCCAAGTGGTGGTGAATTCAGTGAGGAACTGTGTCTGAAAACGGTACAGGGTGTGTTCAAGTCAGGTTCCAGCATCAGTGCTAAGCTACGTTCTCCAATTAGCTTTACCCAACTCAAGCTGAGTGCACGTTTGATATTCATTCATGGGCCCTGACCTCCTTTATCAATAAATTCTAAACTCAAGAGAGAAAATAAATGTGTTTTTTATCAGTGTCCCTTTTCATCTTTCATCTTGATGCCTTTGCCAGATATCAGAGAAGTAGATGCAAGAAATGGGCCTTTAAAGATCAAATTAACCCACTAGCAAACAGGGAGAATAAGCGTTTGGGCTTAAAGTAAGGAAACATTGAAATGAGGCTGTGTTTGGGTAAGTCTAAGTGTGCGGAGATTTTTCCTGTGATGGCCAAGGACAGGGCCACCTGAGGCTCTATATCATGATCGTGAAGGCCTAAAATCTAGGATTCGTGTGGGTTGGCCAAAGGCAATTCCATCTTCCTCCCTCCTAGCAAGTCAATTCGGGTGAAAATGCTCATTTGTTGGATACTTAAATTTTGACCAGGGCCTTAGACTACATAGACTTCTCCTATGTCATTGACCACAAACGTGCATTGCTTTCTATTATGTCATATTTTAAAAGGACTGGGAATCTGTCATCCTTCTAGGCTGATAGGGAGAAACAGCATACACATTTTGTAATCCCACAACCTAAGAAAGATTGTACCTAGAAAACTCCACCTGCAGCAGTCGTGTTTGCTGAAAAAATAAAGGAGGGAAAGATTGTTATAAATTGTGCTTACTTCTGCCTGTCGAAAGAGTAATAACAAAAAGAATAAAAATGGTAAAAGATTAAAAATCTTTAAAGAACATGATAGTTGTATTATATCTAGGTCAATAAGAAGAACAAATAAGAATAATGAAATGCACAGAGAAGGAGTACTGGGGCCTTCCTGGGAGGCTGGAGTTTTTCTCCTCAGGGCACCTGGCAGGGCAGAGTTTGGGTCAATGCAGGGTAGTCATGGTGGGGCTCGCTGGTTCCCTCTGCCTCGGGCTTCAGAAGCCTCAGCAGCGCTCCCAGTGCAAGCAACTCTGGCTATTCTCCAGTATAAACAAATGTGCAGAAGTCAGATTTTAAATGTCACAGAACTTTTTGTAGCAAAAAGCAGTGGCAATGATCACCAGCATGGAGCAAGATCAGAATACCTGCTCACAAGAAAAAAATAGAGACTACATTACTCAACACAGTCCTCTACCCACCCTGCATGCCCGGGAGAAACCAAAAATGAGAGACTTTGCATGTCCCAGATGAAAGAAAGGCCGGTCAAATGAGATCTGGCTGCTTATGCTCAGCCATAATGTCTTGGAGAGAGGGCAAGGGTGTCCCTAAAGTCCTCTAAGTTCACACAGTTTGGTAAAATGGACCCTTCGTCCAGTTCTCCCTCTTAAAATGGCAAGCAGTGCTGCAGTTGAATTTGTCGAAATTTTTTGTTGGTAGAAGTTTCATTTCATAGGCTACAGCCCTTAGATAACTGTATGAACTTGCAGGCACCCTGACAAAACCCTCAGGTCAATATTGACCTCTGTCTCACCTCTTTCCTTCAGCTGCCAAATATTTGCTCTCATTTCTAGCGACGATAAGCAGGGCCTGGGTCATACAGGTCTGGATTTGGGGAATAATACTCCTGAGGAAGCTAAACATTGAGTTATAAACTCTTGTACGGTGGGGTTGATTGTGATATTCTTTTATGTCCAAATATTTAAAAAATCACGGGACCTCAGACATTTTGAGTTGAACTGATACATTTTGAACATGATTAAAATGCGCACTCTTTAGTAGGTGGTGGTCCATGTGTCTGTCTACTCGGTCTCAGCTGGACCGTGGAATGAGGGGTCCTTCCAGCTCAGACTGAGCAGAAGAGGAAATTGACCAGTCACAGCTAAAGAACTGTACTTTTTGTTTGGTTTTAACTTCTAAAGAAAAAGCAACATAATTTTCGGACTTCCTTTTTTACCCATAACCTTCACCTTGGGTGATGGTTTTTATTTGAATTTGGAATTCTATAGGATCGCTCACTCTTAGAGGTCATGATTAGTTGTAAACTGGGAAGGAAGCTAAATAAAGAACAGACCATCTATCCAGGGTTCAGGAGGATTTTGAAGTTAATTCAATTCTGGTCCATTTCAGAGCCTTGTGGTGGTGGTGGTGGGGTAAAAGCATCTAGCTTGTCGAGGAGGGTCTCAAACGATCAGTAGTTGCTATAGTGGCCTTTTAAAAAGTAGCACAGCCAGTTTAGCCTCCTCCTTCAGTGAACCAACCACAGCAATAGTTGATCACAGATTTAATAAATCAACTCAGCAAGTTAAAAGAATAGAAAGCTAGAAGCACTGGGGATGGACACAGTGCATATTCTTATTTGTATAAAAGGGCAGTGGAGAGGGGAAAAATTCCACTCCACTTTTTGGGAAGAAAAGTTTTAGAAAGAAGCCTCCGGAATTTTCTCCAGCCCCAAGGGAGGAAGAACAACTTGTCTGTCTCAGCAGCTAGGGAGAGAAATCCCAGGCCAGTCTTGCCGCTTTCCTCCTCAGTGTCTGCAGTTTCGTAGCACCTCTCAAAGTGCGGAACTAGACCCAATTCCAGGATGAAGGTAGAAGCCCATCTAGAGGCTGCCAACTCACAGGCAGATTCTTTCATCGCTTGTGCTTCCTTTCTGTGCACCTTCTGCGTTGTGTCTTCATTGACTCCGAAGTCAATGAGAGGATTTATCTATTGACTCAATTAAAACCCCAAGAGTATACAAAATTGGTCTTTCCAGGGACACTTTGGAAGATCGGAGCATGTATCAGTCGGCCAGACAAGAAAATGGTTTTGGTGGCTGGTGGCAGCAAGGACTGTCTGGACTGAAGGAAGAACAGGGAAGAAGCAGGCAGAGAGAGCAAACAGGACAATGTGTTCCATGGCAATAACCCAGCACTGTGCCAAGTGGTGCAGTGTGTTTTCCATGGGTGGTGAGTTCACTTAAATGAGATGGGACTTGTTGCACTAACTGAGCTTGTACAAGTCTCAGGCAACATTTACAGTATATAAGGGCTACTTACACCATAAAAGCATTTGTTTACCTGTAAGTCACATTTAACAGAATGTCCTGTGTTTAATCTTGCAACACTGTCTAATGGAAACAGCAGACCGCTGGAGATTTGCAAACCTGGAAGTAATGTGATCAGAAATTAGAGGGAAAGAAAAGTAGTCATGTAGCTAACGGCAAATAGCTCTTTTCAAATGTGTTCAAGTTTCTGAAACACCATTCCTCCCTTCAACCTGGTTTAGCATAAAACCAGAAATAATGAGAGCCGCTGGGCTGCCCTGAGACTCATGATACTATTGCAAATGCAGGCTGATGATGACAAATGACAGTCTCAGGAATATGGCAAACAAGGGGCTGTACTTGCAACAAGAGTGGGGATTTGGAGTACCCCTCTTAGCATTCATACTCTGCCGAGAAAAGAGGCAATACACACCAGTGACTGACAGTCACAGCGATTTCACTTGCAAAATTGAGCATACTCATTTGCCTCCATTGAAATCTAGCTCCCCAGTCCTCCACGAAGCCTGTGTTTAGCATGCCTGGCTTTTGCAGAGTGCAGTGATTGCTGAATTCGTAGCCACCCCACTCTGATTCACAGCAAGTTTGCCGCAAACGGACTGACACTATGATTACTAAAACATGATCCTTCAGAGGCGGCACAACATCTTAGCTTCCTGCAGCAGAAATGGGCACGTGGCCAATGAGCTGAAGCTGCTCTCCCGATTTAATATCCACATTCTACACATGAATTCTCATTTTAGTTATGACCCCATGTGTTTTCTAAATATCTCTATGCCCCTGCTTTGTAACTTTTCCCCTAGGAGTTCTCTCTTATAGCAATTGTTAAAATTCTAATTGCAACTCTCTGGAACAGAGTAATGGACAAATTGGAACAAGTTGTTCTCACCTACTGATCCGTCACTTTGTGGGCTTGCAATGGGGTGAGTACATATATCACCAGGAGCCGGGTCTCTGCACGGGAGGTCGGTAACCATGAGCAGTCAGGGCAGTGTTAAAGCACAGAAAAAAGAAAAGGCCAAGGATGAAGCTTGAGGAAGCATTTGACATTTAATTCACAAGACCAGGAGTATCTTGCTGAAAAAACATCTTTCTATCCAGAATTTGAAAACATACTTTGTCAGTGTTCAGCAAGTCCCTCCAGTACTATTACAAAAGTGAAATGGAAATCGGCCTTTTGGGCCTAGCCAAGACCACACTAAGTGGAATCCAAATACCGACTCCAACTAAGATTTGACGAATATTCACCATTTTCTATAAATTGTCATCTATACTTCATAACTACTAATACCCCAATCATGCAAGACATATACTGTTATTCTTACCATCTTACAAATGAGAAAACTAAAATATGGTGGGCCCAGTGTCACACAGCTAGGGAGGGGCTTGCTAAGGATTTGACTGCAGCTATTGAACTCTGAAGCTGGACTTTAAAACAAAAAAGGTTTCTATTAATACATGTTTCTCTGTGCAGAGAAATGAACAGACTGTTTGAAGAGTACAAAGAATAGCTTTAGCTGGGATTTCCAAGCCGCTTTATTGTAACAGTGACTCCTAGGTGTCATCTTGACAAATGAGCAAAGGTTCATTGCTCAGTGAAGAGACGTAAGGCCATGGTGGCAATGCCAACTGGAAACACCAAGGCTTAGATGTTGTCTGTTCTTTGCTGATGTCTTTGACCGTGGTCAGTAGGGTGAGGTTCTTGGGGAGTACGTTGCATGTTAAAGCTGTAAACGAGGTGGGCAACTCGTGCAAGCAATCCTTCAGTTCCAAGACTTCAACTTACATGGTTCAACATACTGACTTTTAAAATTTCACCATGGTGTGGAAGTGATATGCATCAGTAGGAGCTCTACTTTGAATTTTGAGTCTTGATCTTCTTCTGGGCTAGTGATTAAGATACTGTCCCTGAAGATAGACAATGGCAATGAGCTACACCATTCAGGAAGACACATGATTATGAGGACCAACAGCCAATATTCCACAGTGTAGTCTCTTGCTAAACTAGGACACTTGTTAGGTTAGGTGTGTTAAATTATGATATTTTCAATTCATGATTGGGTTATTGGGACATACAGGAGCATCTGGGTACTGTATGAACTGAATATATTATTGTCTGTTATCATTACCATCATTATTAAATAAGCACGCGCCATGAGAAACGCAGTGTGTAAATCAAGGGAAAAATGGAGATTTCCATATTCATTCTGATCTCCTGCCAGCACCCTCAAATTCAGATTCCTCGAAAAAACAAATGATTACTCCCACCCATATGTGCTTGCATTTCAAAGATTCATTAGGTTTGATTGGCTGCTATTAACACCAGAATGCAGTTGGAGTTGGGCTGCTTTATAGTCTCTCACAGCTTTAGCAAGTTAGGAAAAAAATCCCTGCAATATCTTTGTGGGGCCATAGTCATGAATTATTGCATGCACTGACTGACCACTGTGAGTGCTCACATTTATTCTTCTGATCCTGCTCACTTTCATGTGATGTGGGGTCTTTAATTTGATCAGTTAATGACTCTAGTAAAAAGAGACTTCACCTAACATCACAATTTCAGCAAAAGGATTTATTGCTATCTAATGGAATATTAACATTGCCTTAGAAAATTTCTAAGAAATATGTTGAACATACACATTTCCATACCTTTTTCCCAGGAAAGAATTTTATGATCCAGTGGCATATTAATGAGATAGTTAAACAGCTTCAAGAAACTAGATTCTTTTACTTTTTCTTTCTCTTATATAGAAATAGACATAATTTAATATTGTGTCATCAAAAGTCAACATATTAAGACACCCAACAGCACATACCTTTTAGGGTAACCTTCACCTTCATTCTTACTTGCTCTCTGAATGTGACTTTGTTATGGTTTGGATCTTAAATGCATCCCAAAGCCCTATAGGCTGAAACTTTTTCATTCTATAGAGTTATTGGGAAATGGTGGAATCTTCAGGAGGCAGGGCCTAATGGGAGGAAGTGAGGTCCTTGAGGGTGTGGCCTTTAAGGGAGCTTTAGGGACTCCAGTCCTCTCCTTTTACTTCCCAGCTGTCATAAGGTAAGCAGCCTTCTCTAATATGTGCTCCTGCACCTATTCACTGTGCCACCACAGGCCTAAAAGACACCAGGCCACCCATTCATAGACCAAAACCTCTGAGACTGTGAGGCAAAATAAAGGTTCTGTTATAAGTTGTTCATCTCAGATACTGTGTGAGAGAAACAGAAAGCTGACGAGTACAGGCTTGTCTTAGTCTGTTGTGCTGCTGTAACAGTAATTTACTATTACATAGGACTGTGGTACTATGACTACATAATTTATAAAGAAAACCAATTTATTTCCTCACAGGTTTGGGGGCTGGGAAGTTCCTGACCATGCCCTGATGTCTGCCTCCAGGATGGCACTTTGTCGTGGCACCCTCCAGTGGGAGCAGACACTCTGACCTCACACAGAAGAAGGCAGACGAGCAGGCTGGCTGAAGAGTCCCTGTAGCCATTTTTGCAAAGGCCTGAATCTCATTAGCAGAGAGGAGCTCTCAGCCTCCAAATCATCTCTGTAAGGCCCAGTGTTTGATAATTTCACATTGGCCACAAAATTTCAACACCTGGCTAAGCACACAGGTACATATCTATAATCACAGCAATTCAGCAAGACCCTGCCTCACACTAAAAAGTAGAAGGATTGGGGCTGTAATTTGGTGCTTGAGGACCCTGGATTCAATTCCCAGTACCAAAAACAAGATCATCACCTGCATTGTCGGGGGGAGACACATTTAAATCATAGCAGATCTGCTGCTGTGGGAGGGATGTGTCTTAAAGGATGTCCCTAGCTATCTTGACACAGTGTGACTTTAATAGCAGGAACTTTGGAAGTCTAAATATTCAAGTCTGTTCTGTGTGTTTGTTGTCATTGTTCAACTGAATAAAATTAAACTTTCCATTTGCATCATCATGCAAAACAAAATTAAAGGACAAGTTTGGTTTTTTTTTAAAGTTTCATTTAATTAAGGAGTAAATAGAGCTCTGTTCTACTTCAATTGCTTGGTATAAAAAATACAACATTAAATCAAAGCAAAAGCCATACGTTTCTATGAGAAATTCACTAAATGTAATCAAAATCTAAACCACACAGGTGCACTTCATGCACGCATTCTTTCTCCTTTATTTCCCAGGAAGGTTGACTAGCACCTCGAGTCCTGCCCCTCCTACTTCCTTTTTAAACTTTATCTTCTGTATTATTTTTTGTGGTGCTGCAAGAAGTCCTCTTTGTGTTTTTGGTGAGAAGGGTGGTTACTTCCTAATACAGCAAAAGCAATCTGGGTAATGTAGGACAGGTTTTCTTGATTCTCAAGCTTCTTTTCAGGGCGCCATCTTTAAAAATGCATAGATTTAAAATTGAAAAAACAGGACCAGTGGGTTATCTTGCAAAGAAAGATCTGGCCACACTGACCCGTATTTCGACATGATAAATATCAACAGGAGCTGAGCAGTAGCTGGAGCATGTGGACCCATCAATCCTTACCAATGTCCACTGTCTTTAGGTGACCACCGGCCTGTCTCACTCAGTTAAGCTGCTGACAGGACTCCTGAAAGCGTGTGTGTGTGTGTGTGTGTGTGTGTGTGTGTGTGTGTGTGTGTGTGGGTGTGTGTGTGTGTGTGGGTGTGTGTGTGTGTGTGGGTGTGTGTGTGTGTGTGGGTGTGTGTGTGTGTGTGGGTGTGTGTGTGTGTGTGGGTGTGTGTGTGTGTGTGGGTGTGTGTGTGTGTGTGGGTGTGTGTGTGTGTGTGGGTGTGTGTGTGTGTGTGGGTGTGTGTGTGTGTGTGGGTGTGTGTGTGTGTGTGTGTGTGTGTGTGTGTGTGTGTGTGTGTGTGTTTGTAAGTATATGTTATGGCTGGGGTCTAAAATGCTCCCCAAGGGTGCGTTTGGAGGGAGATTGGATCGTGGAGACAGTACAGTCACCAGTGGATGCATCCACTGCATCCACTGCTAGTTCAGCAGTTCCTGGGCTAATAGGAGAGAGGCCGATTGTGCACTGGGTGTGACCTGGAAGGGTGTGTTCTTGCTCCCAGCTGCTCCCTTTCTCCTTGCTCTCTGCTTTCTGGTCTTCGCGGGGTGTGCAGCTGCCCTCTGCCACACTTTTGTGCCGTGTTGCTTCCACCTTGGAGTCAGCCCACCATGGACTGAGCTCAAGGGAAACGTGAGCCAACTGAACTGCTCCTCGGGTACTGTGCCCCAGCAACGGGAAAGTGGTGAATACAGTAGGGATATATTTATTTACTTTTAAACAGCAGAAGAATTTTAAAGGGGTACGCAGTCTCAAAACCTACCTCTGATTACTTCGTAAGATTTGCCCCAGTACACGTGTGATCTTAGGCAATTCACTTAGATAGTTTCTCATTTGTAAAATGAGATTATGTCCATAATCCAATATATTCTGTAATTGTATGAAAATCACTAAAAGGATGTATATAAAAATTGTAACATAATTTCTGGAATACAGTAGGTATTTAGCAAATGGTAGCTACAGTGCTCTAAGACATACAACAATAGATGCGGCTTTAAAAATTGTGTGTTCTTTTAGCTAAAAGATGCCCTGTGCCAGGGTCTTTGATTTTCAGTTCAGTTTTCAGTTTGAGTGGTCTAGGAGAGCTGCCAATGGCTGTGCTGCCTCTGTCGTTCTGGTGAGTCAGTTTGGTCTTGAGCTGGGAGCAGGATAAAGAATGATTTAGGAAAAGCTGAAGCAAACATGTGGGTGGATATCCCTTGTCACAGCTTTGATTTGGATTCCTTGCAGAACAGCAGAAATATTCATTAGATTTTCATTCTTTTCAAAAGGCAAAGAATAGCAGAGCATCAAGAACAGAACAGTAATGCACTAACCTAGAGGAAGTTATTTTAACACATTTAAAAGCAGCCTCTAAGAATCAGGGCATCATAGATGCATCCCTCGTTGTTTCTCCTGCTCGTTATTTGGCACCATTATCTGTTTTGATCCTTTCCTACAGTTGTGCCTGTGTTAATGTGCTACAAATGTTATCCTTGGACCAAGAAAGGGGTTTGCAGCTCATGGAGACCACAGAGGATCATTAAACAAATTTGTGATTTACTGCCTTTATTATCTTCTTCAGGAGCAGCAACAGGAGCCAGTGGGAGGAGAATCTCTGATTATAATCATGGAGAGAGAAATGGTTTCTTCTGACATTTTTCTTTCAGGGAGACTAAGCAAAATTGCAGTACAGTTTAACAGTACCCTTCTTAACTCGCTGAAGGTTGCCATGGAAACAGGAATCTCGCCTCAACATGAAAGACATTTAGGGAGTCTGTTAGGCTTCAACAGTAGCATGATCTAAGCATGCTTGCTTACCACTAACAAGTCTAGCATCTCCTTTAGAGTGTCATTAATGCTCATTAAATTTCCCTGCATGTGGTTTTAGGATCTTCATATCATATTTGAGGTCTCCTTTGTGAGCAACCAACTCATCAGAGAAAATGCATTTGGTGGAACTATGCTTAGTTAACGTAGGATGTGAAATGAGATTCACTCTCCTCACACTTATTTTCACAGGATCCAGATTTAGATTTTAATAGAGAACATTATTACATTGACAATTAAGAAAAATCTTTTAATATTTAAGCAGTCTGTTGACATTAATGAAAAGCCAAAGGGGAGTTTTTCTTCTACCAAAAGAGTTTAATAGCACAGGCCCTTGGCTGACTGGCTGGTGTTGGTTGACTTTTAGGTTAGCTCTCTCCTATGTAAGTTCAGTTTTGCCAAATTATGTATTTTTAGTATTTCTTTTTGAAGAGAGCACTTAGGCATCTTAGCACACTACAAGATTATGTTTCTAGCAAAATCAGTTGGACTGTTTTGTTTTATTTTCCCCAGAGCTCTGAAAATTTGATTAAAAAGCCACCAATTTTCTTACAGCAATTATAGTAACAGCTGAGCATCATATTCTTTGACTTCATAAAAGAAAGGAATTTGGGTAGACTCATACGGAGTCGACGTGGCAGGATCTGTTTGAATTACATCTCACAATCTTCCAGTTCTTCTTTTCAGCAAAATGAAGCATCCCTCATTCAGCGGATCATCCCCTCGTGAAGCTGGCCGGTGCCACCCGAAATCGGTCCTGTCTTCTCGCTGCTGCAGGATTCCTCGTCCCTCTCAGTGCCTGTGCCACACAGAAGCAAGTTGAAGTGAGCAGCACATCAACAGTAAAGTCAGAAAGGCTGAGTCTGAGTCCCAACCCCATCTCTCGCCAACTGGGTGAGATCAAGGAAGGCATTTAAGCTCTCTTTACGGGCCTTAGAGCATAGGCTGTTCAAGATGGACAATGCCCAGGCTGTCCTTTGGTTCCACTGCAGCACACACATGCTGGCATTACAAGACATCACCTGAGTGAAATTATTATTTTATATTACTTTTATGCCTTGAATAACTTGACAACACTGCTAGGCCTCTGTTTCCATTTTTAATAAAAAGAAGATGTGCTAACCGGGACTAGAGTTGGCTGAGTTTAGCTTTCCTTTTTCTCTTTGAGTTATTCACCTTTGGGAAAAGTGGATTGTGAGTGATATAATGTCCAAAATCCAGCCAGTAGGCAAGGGAAGAATAAATTAAGACCAATACAAACTGGAAATTTGATTTTTAGATGACAGCTTAAAGAAAGGCAACCAACCAGTCACCTGCAGTTGGTGAGCGCCAGTGTACATACTCCACTCACTGACTTGTCTGGCTTTGAGATGTAGTCAGTTAGTCCATGGTAAATTATGTATCATGAGCCATGAATGAGTTTAGAAGTCCTGTGATTTCTCTCTAATTTATTTATTGTTTTACGTTGATGTTTAAAGATGTAAATGCATTATGACCCACATAAAGCACAACCAAAAGAAAATAAGTAACATGGTAAGTCAGATGGAAACAATCATTTTAACTAATGATGAATAATTTGCTCACAAGAATATGGTTGAGGGTCACAGTGGGCTTTTACAACTGTATCCCATCACTTGACAATTTAATCTACTCACAGGCAGCACCGGGAATGGGCAGTGCTTCCTCATCAAGGCAGAGAGGGCCACTAGGACCTGGTAACAGGGAAGGAACAGACTGTGTGACCACAGTGAGGAGACAGTTTCCAAGGAAAAGAGAGAAGAGAATCACCAAAACACCTATGGTCAGATCTGCCCTGGCCAGCAGCA